TTTATTTTAATTTTAATTAAGTTTTAATTTATTTTAATTTTAATTATTTTAAAATTTATTTTAAAATTTATTTTAATTTTAATTATTTTTAATTAAGTTTAATTTTTATTAATTTATTTTAATTTTAATTAATTTTAATTAATTTTAATTAATTTTAATTTTAATTATTTTAATGTGCAGTGTGCATAGGAATTCTCTCATATTTTTTGCAAACTATAGTCCGGCCCCGCAACAGTCTGAGGGACAGTGAACTGGCCCCCTGTTTAAAAAGTTTGAGGACCCCTGCTTGGAGTATCGTGGGCTACTTATTTATTCATTTATTTGTCGGTTCCTTTGGCTAGGTATTCTCTACCTGGTACTTGAGAGATATCAACAGGTGGAGAGGTCCTTAGGAGTGCTGGATCAGACCACCTAGACTAGTGTCCCAGTTGCACAGTGGTCAACCAGCTGCTCACAGGATCCCAACAACTGGTGTGCCAAGGACCACCGCCTGATACTGGAAGTTGCATTTAGCCATGAGGACTAGCAGCCATGGCTAGCTTCTCCGCCGTGAATTTGCCAGTCCATTTGCAAAGCTGTCACTATCTCCCGTGAAAGTGAATTTCATCATTTAACCCTGAGCATTGTGAAGAACTTTTCTTCAGACTGTCCTGGGAAAGGACAGAAAAGGGTCCTGTCACATGGAGAAAGGGTCTTAAGTGTGTGTGGCAGAAAATACCCCCTGGAATGTAAAGGGCTAAAACTGGGTATCTGATTAAGGAAGGAATTAGTTTTGCGAGGGCTCAAGTCCCTTGCATGTTTTTAAAAAACTAAAAGATATAGTGGTGCCTCGGCTCACGAACGCCTCAGTTCACGACCAAATTGGGTTGCGAACAGAAATTTAGGAAAATTTTTTCCTCAGGTCGCAAACTCCGCAACGGGTGACATTTGCAATTGTGTCCATCTCCCCCCAGTGCACCCACAATTGTGCCCGTCTTCCCTGTGATTAAAAAAAAAAAATTACAGAATGGATTAACCTTATTTGCATTGAACCTTATGGGGAAATTTGACTTGACTCACAACCAATTTGGGTCACAACCAGAGTCCTGGAACGGATTAAGTTCGTGAGCCAAGGTGCCACTGTAAGTGGAACACTCCAATTTAGGATGAATCTATTTTTGAGCCCATGAGATGCTCAGAAATATTTCCTGGGATTCCCTGTAAGACCTGAGCCCAAACTAGAACCAAGCCTTTGCTTTCTTTTTGCCCAGTGCAGACTCTAAAGTTTGCTAGGCCCGCACAACAGCCCTTGTAATACAGCATTAAGAATTGCTGTGATTGCTCCTTTCGAAATTTGACTTGCATCCCTGTTGGATTTTCCCCTGGAATTTAGTTCCCCCTGCTTTGCTTTTGTGTCAGCTTTATATCTGGTTTAAAAAGCAGCTGTGGCTTTTCCTTTGATCTTTTTAGGCCTGCTATAGAAAATAACCCACTCTGAATATTTTTGTATGTGGAATACCGCTATTCAACTCCTTCAACTACTTCTTCCTTCTTTAAAAGTCTTCCCAGGTCCCAGATCTGACCTCATCTTTTGGCAGGTAAAAAAGGGGGCAAGTTCCAATTCCTTCCAAGGAAGGAAAGAGATCAGTGGTTGTGTGTTTCATTCTTGTCAGATTTTTTGTCTGGGTGCCTAGATTTTTTCCCTGCAGGCGAAAATTACTTGCTGAATGTCATTTCCTTGACAGTTATGAGATATCTTATGGGTACAGCCAAGGGATTATGTAGAAGAATCCCATCACATGGGAAATGGGTCTTCTCTGCTTAAATGTGCATGATGGGAACATCCGTAGAAGACCAGGCTTTGATGACGGTGCCAACAGATTTCCCTGGATTACCAGCTTGGAATGGGAAACCTTGTCCCAAGTCTCCAGAACAGGGTCTTTCCAAAGCTGTGCTTGGAATGCCTTTATTGAGAGATCCCAACAATTGGATATGTGACTTTAGACATGCAAAGAATTTCATCTTGTCCCTAGTCCATAGTGCCTGAAGCAAAACTAACCACAGTTTTTGTTGGTTTACCTCTTGTTTTATTTATTTACTACAAACATTTATATTCCATCCTTCCGCACAAGTGCTCAGGATGGCTTACCTAGTATAAAATTACAATAATAAACCCACAGTTATTAAAAACATCTAACATTGAACATTATAAACTAAAAAATAAGGGAAGATAAAATATGAAATGCAACTGTGAAAACAGAAAACAAAAAATCTTAAAACGTCTAAAACCCTTGATTATTAAAATGATGTTTGAATAAAAAGGTCTTTCTTCAGAAAGGGCTGGAAGGGTTTGCTCATCAGAGGTTTTTCTAAACCCTTGGTTGCCAGGAGCACAGTGCCTTGTTAGTGTGTGCATCTCGACTTCATCGGCTTGGTTTACCCCTGCCTTGCTTCCTGTGATGTCCAGACCCAGAGTTCTGGCATGTCTCTCCCCTGACAAGCTTCACTCATAATTCAGGGTTTGTTTTTGCAGCTTGTGCTGCCAGGAGGACCCAAAGGAGAGCAGTCAAGTTACCTGCACCCTCATGCTGGCCTCCTCAGAGCTTCCCAGAGATGAAACGCATGGGGAACAGTCCAGAAACTTCAGTTGATCCAAAACAGGGCAGCAAGGCTGTTAATGGGAACTAGCTCATGAGAACATACCACGCCAGTCCTCTTCCAGCTACACTGGCTGCCAGTTGAAGTCTGGGCCCAATTCAAAGTGCTAGTACTAACATTCAAAGCCCTATAAAACTTGGGGCCAGGCTATTTGAGGGATCACCTTGCCCCATATATATCCACCTGGACCCTGAGGTCATACTTGGGGATCCTTCTCCAGGAGCCCTCTCCAAAGGAGGAGGAGGGCCTTTTCGGTTATGGCACCCCAGCTGTGCAAAGAGCTCTCTGAAGTGGTGCACCTGGCACCTACTGTTACATTTTTTCCAGCGCCAAGTGATTTTTAAAAAAAAATTTCCCAGCATTTTAACCATTTAACTTTAGTTTTAATATGGCATTTTATTCCGTACTGCTGTTATGCTTCTAGACTGAATCAGTTGCCTTTGCTGAGGTT